GATGTGTTCTACAGCATAAGAGGCGAAGGAAACATTATTTATCCTGGAAGGCAGATATATATTCCAAGATTATGCAAAGGAAGTAGAAACAGACTATGGGAGAGGGGTGTAGGTAAGAAAGCAGAAGGAGCAGTCAAAAGGACTATGAACAGTCCCCTAGAAGTCACAGCATCAGGCAGTGGCATAGGTAATTTCTACATTTTTTCCTGGAAAGCTGTTTCTTTCCCTCTCTTAATTTTTTTTGGTCTTTGAGACAGGGTCTCCTTGTAGCCCCAGCTGTCCTGGAACTCACTATGTAGACCAGGCTGGCCTTGAACTCACAGAGATCCGCCTGCCTCTGCCTCCCAAGTGCTGGGATTAAAGGCATGCGCCACCACGCCCAGTTTCTCTCTTAATTTTTGTAGGGCGCATAACTTCAGGTTTGCCTTATGTTTAGAGAGTGTGGAGGTGGGCTTTTCAGCAATACTGGTAGTTGAGACTGCAAACTCTTAAGAGATAAAACTAAAAGCACTTTTCATTGTGAGCTAGACATAAGCCTTTGGAGGCCAGGGGCAAATGTTATGGTTTCTATTTTAAATGCCCCCCAAGACAATGTACTAAAGGCTCGGCCTGTACCCTGTGGAACTATCAGGAGTTAGTGGATACTTTACAAGGTATAAGTTAAGACACTGGAACCATGTTGATGGGGATACTTGAGGATACTCCTGGAGTCTCAGCCTAGTGGGTTTGCTCCTGGCTTATCCTTTCCTCTCTGCTTTCTGGTAGTGACAACGTGAGCAGCCTCCTGGACCAGTGCTTCTGCCATGACGTACTGTGCCACCAAAGGCTCAAAGCAATGTGGCTAAGTGATAATGGACTAGACTTCTGGAACTGTGAGCCAAAATAATCCCTTCTCCCTTTTAGTGACAAAAAAGTTGACTGACAGGGTTGCATTGCTAAAAATGAGGAGACCCTGGCCCAACTGGTGTGCCATTGATCCCCCAACCCAACTCTTCTTCCTGTTGAACAGATGGCTGGGTCCTATTCAGGATGACCCTGGCCTAGCACAGGGAGATTTAAATCATGGTTTGTAGGAGCTTTACCTGGCCAATTTGCCTTCTCGGTAAGTTCTGCCCCAGGGGTGTCGATGTTTCTGCAGAGGCCACACATCTGGAAGCCAAAGTGTGATGGATCCCTCCATTGTGTCTCCATCAGCACATGCTGGCTCTGTTTCTCGGCAGTAATAGCACTTTCCATAAAAACAAGTATTGTTTCCTGAAGGATAGAAAGGAGCCAGATATAATTAAGGAAGAAAATGAGGAACCAAATTCTCCCCCAAACAAGGCAAAACAGCTAAGAAAATAGCACTGAGAAAATAAAAATACTGAATTTACTATATTTCATACATGTGCTTTCCTATATAGATAATAAAAGTGGACAGTGTAAAAAATCTGAAAAATATTTAAGGACATATACGAGAGAAAGCAAATCTGCCATGTCTCCTTCTATCCAGTCTCTCTCCCAGAAGTCAGCTGCTATGAGTATCTTTCTCAACTCACTGTGATTAAAGGAAAGCAACATCTTCTTTTTCTTTATCAGAGCTGAGGTTTTAGCCACAGGAGAGAGAGGAGACATATACTCAACTTGGTCACATAGAAGGAGGTAGAAGCAAATAGTAAACACACTGAGGATAATGGGAACGAGGTTTCTCATAGACGAAGAAGGAGGTTAAAAACAGAATGGGAGAAAACAAGAATAAATCCTGCCAAGAATTAGAACTAGACATTCTGGTTTCAGCTTGATGGTTTTAATTTTTATTTATTTATCTATTTATTATATGTAGGAATGTTTTGTCTGCTGTACAGAAGTGCATTCCATGCATTCAGTGCCTGCAGAGGCCAGAAGAGGGCATTGGAGGGCCTGAAATTGGAGTTAAGGAAACATGAAACTGGGGTCGTTAACCACCATGTGGGTGCTGGGAACTGAGCCCCAGTCCTCTCCAAGAGCAGCCAGTGCTCTTAGCCATCTCTCCAGTCCCATTAAAAAAAAAGCCAGGCATGGTGGTACATACCTATAATCCCAACACTAGAGGTAGGGGGGGCCACTAAGATGACTCAGTGGTTAAAAAGGGATTGCTGCCAAACCTGAGGACTTGAGTTCAATCCCTAGGAATCACATAATGAAAGGAGAGAAGCAACTCTTCAAAGTTGTCTTCTGAACTCCACATATGTGCCACGATATGCACACACCACATACACAAGAGCAAAATAAATGTTTTTATTTATTTATTTTTATTTTATGTGTATGAGTGTTTCTGCCTGCATGTATGTAAGTGCCCATGGAGGCCAGAAGAGGACATCAGACCCTTTGGAACTGGAGTTCCAGACAGGTGGTATGTGCCATGTGGGTCCTGGGAATCAAACCTGGGTCATCTGTAAGAGCAGCCAGTGCTCTTAACTGCTGGGCCATCTCTCAAGCTCGCCATTTTTTTAAGGTAGAGGTAGGAAGATCACAAATTCAAGGCCAGCCTGTGCTATACAGAGACCCCACCCTATAACAAAACGAAATAAAAAAACAATCTTCCCCTCCCCCCATAACAACCTAACAAAAGGTCACGGTAAGGTCAGTCTGTTGTTAAAAATTTGTACCTCAAGTCAAATCTTTTCACCTAGTCAGTGCCCAAGAATGCTAAGAAGGTCATTCACACCCCAGAGACACCAATCCAACAGCACTGTCAGGTATTTGTGTCCTGTTTCTATAACTACTGCCCAATATTTTGCCCAACCCCTTTCTGCTTTGATGCTTGAGTAACTTTTATCGATTCTGGGAAACTAAGTTCAAATGTTAATAGCTTTCTCTACAAGCTTTTTCTGGCCTCTCAACTCCCACACTTCACACGATCTAGACATTAACCTTCTGTGAGTATCTGGAAAACAAGACCTCAGCTGCTTCTTTCTCTCTCTAACCCAGCACCCATCAAGAATTCATATTTGCCTAGTATAAAACTGAACAACCAAAGGAGATAGAACACACGCAAACAAATCACGGACATAGTTATGCTTCTGCTAATCTGCAAGAAAAGCACAACCTGGGCCTTGTAAGCTTAAATTCTTAATAGAAAATCTTTTACATTCTTTAAATATTGCTTTACCTCATTTTAAATATAAATCCATTCATTCTAGTAAAAAGCAAGGTGAAGTTCATTTTTCAGTGTTTCAACATTCATACCATAGAGCACTGAATCACTGAAAAAGAGTCATCACAACGAGGCTGAAAAGACAAAGAACCTCTGAACTCTTCCTGTTCTATCATGCTCACAAGAACAAGATTGAGAATTTTAGTTCCAGTCCCTTGCTTCACAGTGAGATAATGGAAACCAGAGGCCTTGGGCACCATACCGAGGTACAGGCAAGAGTTATAAACTAATCCTTTAAGAATAAGAAGAGGCAGTGGCCCAAATGCACCTGCACAAGGGGATTTCTGATCCTCTTACAGTTACCTTAGGTTTCCTCAATTCTTTCTTATTAATTAATCTGTGTGTGTATGTGTGTGTGCGCGTGCGTGCGTGCACATGTGTGTGTATATGTGTGTTCATGGGAGGGTCATGCATGTATGTCTGCTAGGTGGTGGCCATAAATTGAGGTTAGTGGGCCTGGAGAGATGGCTAAGTGGTTAAAGAGTACTGTCTGCTCTTGCCAAGGACCTGGGTTCAATTCCCAGCACCCACATGGCAGCTAACAACTGTAACTCCAGTTCCAAGGGAACCCAATGCCCCCCTCTTACCTCTGTGGTCACCAAAGGACAGGAGCACTTATACACTTTCAGGCCGTCCCAGCACTGGCATTACAGTAACATGCTGCCATACCTGACTTTTTACATGTATATGGGGAGCTGAACTCAGGTCTTCATGCTTGCACTGCAAGCATTTTACTGACTGAGTCAACTCCCAAGCCCCTAGGTTTCCTCAACCCTAAGGAGACAGTTCCCAAAGATCATATGTATGTGAAAAAATAACCAAGCCAATGATTGCAGACAATAACCAATTTGGGCCAAATTCTGAATTTGAGACTTAGCTGTAAGAGCAAGCAGAAGGAAATAAAATTATTACTTTGTACTATTGGCACATGACTTCACTTTCTACTTCAAGAGGGACTTCACTTTCTACTTCAAGAGGTACAGCACAGTGTGCATTAGGGAAAACTACCCACTTCCTGCTCCCTGTTCTCTACCATTAGATCTAATTCTCACACTAACTCAAGACCAGGTTGCCTACTGCTTTTGCATTCTCTTAAGTTCTTTAAGACTAAAAGACATGAACCAGCTTGCTCAATGATGCCCTACTGAACTCACAAACTATGCCCCTATTTACGTGCCCTCTAAAATCTTACCTACAGTTAGGAAGGTGCTCAACAGCTGCTCCGTGGCAATAGGCTTGATCTCTGTCCGCAGATTAACAAATCTGCCAACCACCAAGGGAGCTCGACGGAAACCCAAAATCCTGGTTTAAAAGGTTAAAGAAGAGAGGAGAGAAATCTTTGGAGATGTATTTTAAATGTCTTAAAAACCATGGTTAATCATGCTAAACATATAAAGGATTATAGGTAGATAAGTAAGTAAATCTTGAGGGGTTTTTTTTGAGGTACATATATTTATGAGTTTAATGGCAAATGTATACAATTTAATAGTTCAGGAAAAACAAAAAAAAAGGAGTAGGCAAATCAGGCAAAATGTAAGATTTAAACCTAGGGAATGGGAATATAGGTTCATTATAGTATTCTCTACTTCTGTTAGAAATTTTTCATAATAAAAATAAAAGCAATTTTTTTTTTTTTTTGTGGTGCACACCTTTAATCCCAGGACTCAGGAGGCAGAGGCAGGCGGATCTCTGTGAGTTCAAGGCCAGACTGGTGTACATAGTGAGTTCCAGGACAGCTGGGGCTACTGGGAGACCCTGTCTCAAAAAAAGACCAGAAAGGGAGGGAGGGAGGGAGGGAAAGGATCCCTAAATTAAAAGCAAATTTTAACAAAGTATTAGAAAATATTGTGCTTAAAGTCAGATGGGTTCAAAGTTTTGAACAAAACAGCATACTGACAAAACTATGCAAACTCACTTAAAAGAACAAACTCACAGAACAGTTTAAATAGACTCATTTGAAACTTTCTCTCCAATGTTTAAGCATTACAAAATAATTATTTTGTTTTAAAGTTATGTTTCCTGGTCAAAATATACACACTCCCTGAAGAAAACCTAGAGGGGCAGAATTTGAAACGTGGAAAATTTATTATGAAGAAAATAAAGATCATCCTTAATTCCGCAAGCCAGAAATAGCAACTGATATTTTGGCATGTAAACATTTTTCTTCTACATGTTTGTATAAATATATATGCATATATAAACACACACATTTGTGCTGATCACTTATGCAGGTTTAGTGGGGGGGGGGGTACTGGGGATTAAGCCCGGGTCCTTGTGCATGTAAGACATGTACTCTACCTTGAGCTATATCACCAGACAATGGTTTACTTTTTCTTTTTCTTGGTGGAGGGGGGGAATAGCTGAGAATTAAACTAGGGTTTTGCACATGCTAAGCAAGTGCTCGACCACTAAGCTACATATTGTTGTAATCTTGTATGCCATTTTGTGTGTGTGTGTGTGTATCATACAGAACATCCCAAACAAACTTATTCATCTATATACTCCCAAATGGCACCCTCCCATAGCATCCCCCCACCTCACTGGAGCCCATATACTCTGTCATCCCTGTTACTGTCCACTGTGTTGTCAGTGCCCCAGCTAGTCCCCAGTGCCTGTCCATCTGCTGAATCTAGTCAGCCTATCTAGAGATCCTTGTTTTAGGAAGATCAGCTGTTCCTCATCTAGTAGCAATCAGTTGTCAATATTCCTTTAGATAAGATTGGGGTCTGCTGTTCATTTTCCCAGTTCTATGCTGGGTTACTGTCTGGTAATCTTTTGGGCCACCCTGGCCAATAACTCAAAGAAAGGTATCACTTGTCTGCCATTGTTTCTTGTTATGTAGCCTTTAGCTATGCATATGGACTCATAAAAAATTATATTCGCCCCTTTAATCTTTGGTTATACTTTCCTTTTTGGTGCTTAAGCCCATACTGGCCCTGATAAACCAATTTATTTTTACTCTTAAGGTCATTTGAGGATCTGGTCCTCAAGGGTAACATGGGCTTGGGAGGAGCCCCTGGCTCCTTTCTATTACCAGTTCTATCTATGTGAAGATAAGTCAAAGATCCTGCTCAGCCATGGCTGGCTTCGCTTGGAAGCATGGAGGAAATGTTTCCTCTGTGTTGACCCTCCTCTTTGTAGACTGGACACTGGTTCAAGTCCATCTGGTGAGGTCTCCACAGCCTCCCTGATCAAGAGGACAGGTGACCCACCACAGTTACAGGTCATTTTGAGAGATGCTCATAGTCCCCTGGGACTTAGTCGACCTAGGAGGGCCACTTCTTTAAAAAAAAAAAAAAAATACTAATTGTACCATGAACCTTTCCCTATGTCATTATAAAGACTTTAAAAATGACTATGTGATAAATAATCCACTGTTTAGGGATGATTTAGGTCACAAAAGCAAGGAAATCAAAGATCTGTCATAGTAACATAAATCTCAGAGAAACACTTAGAGAAGGTGGCTGATCTGAGCAAAGTGGAGAAAAAGCAATCTAAGCAGAAAAGTGTCAGAGACAAAGAGTGGGAAGTATTCTTTCTCCTCATTAATTACTGCCAGGTCACAGGACAACTGCCAGTTTAGTGCTGAGGAGCAATATCACAGTAGCACTTGACCTGGTTGGGTGGCAGTAAATGAAAGCAATTGGAGGAGGGAATTAACCTCACATTATTTGGCTTTGAGAGAGGAAGAACTTTTAGATGTAACATTCTTAAGCTAAAACATTAATATTCAACTAATATCAAGTAACCATTTCTTTTTTTGTTTTTTCTGTTTCTCATGTTGCCCAGACTGACCTCAAACTTGTTATGTAACCAAGGATAACCTTGAACTCCTCTGCCTCTCTCTCACAAGTGCTGGAATTATAAACTTGTATCATCACACTTCTTTTTTTGTTTGGTTGGCTTTTTCTTTAAAGACAGGATCTCACTCTGTCGGCCAAGTTAGCCTTGAACTCCTGGCAATTCTCTTGCCTCAGTCTTCCCAGTGCTAGGATTACAGGTATAAACCACCACACCTGGCCAAATAGTCAGCATTTCTATACAAAGAATATTTCACTACTTACAAACAGAGGTGCTATGAAAAAATAAACTTTACCAATAACTAGAGGAAGACGAAATAAATATAGTAATAATATATCACTTTGCACACATTAAATTACAAACATTACTGTGTTTGGTCAATATAAAATAGTGGTCTGGAAGTGAGAAAACAAAGTTGCCTTCATGATCTGCTCATGTCTAATAAACAGAAAGCAGTTAGAGGTTCAAAGGAAAGAAAGTGAACAAATAGGATCTTTGAGAGTCTAATTCTAGTGTGCCATTAAGTGAGGGGTGGGATTTATTCAACTCTCTACCAGTAGTTCTTAAAAAGGCTATAAAGGGGCTGGTGAGATGGCTCAGTGGTTAAGAGCACTGGCTGCTCTTCCAGAGGACTCAGGTTTGGTTTCCAGGATCCACATGGTGGCTAACAATCATCTAACTCCAGTTCCAAGGAATCTGATGCCCTCTTCTGACCTCTGGGGACATTGCATGACAAGAGTGCACTTACATACATGTAGGCATTAAACTCATACACTTAAAGTAAAAATAATAAAATAAAAAGTCATAGTATTATAAACATTTAACCTTTTCCCTATCAGAAGATATTAGTGGTAATATGTATCTATCTATTAGTGGTAATATGTATATCTATGTATATGTATCTTTATTATTTTCCATAGTACTTCCTAGAAATAACTTCTTAGGATTATCTTAGATATGTGCATTAAAAGGTATTCATTCAAAAGGTATGAGCAGTAAGGTTTTTGATACAAAATCCCAGAGTCCTTAACAGAAAGAACAATGAATTAACAATGAATTAACAATGAATTAACAATGCTCTAAGCAGTATATGAATTTCAATGTATTCCTGAACACTAAAACATTATCCTCTAAAAAAAAAAAAAAGAATCATCATTTCAGTAGGTAAAAATAGTAAGCTATGGTTTCAAATGGATTTTTTAAAATTTCTAGCAAAGAGGAACTTGTTCCCATATTTATTAGTACTCAAAACTGATACTATTCTTTTAACTACTAATGGTATTTATCCATTTGGTCTTTTGCAGACAAGGTCTTGTTATCTAGCACAAATTAGCCTCAAACTCCTGATCCTCCTGCCTTAGCCTTCCAAGTGCAGGGATTACAGTTGTGTATCACCATGGCCAGTTCGTCTAATGTTCTTGACTCATTTTCTACTATAGTTTTTGTGTGTGTTTGTGTTTGTGTGTGTGTGTGCAAAAACATAGGAAATCCTTCCTAATCTAGAAAGACAAAAATTCGCCTCTTTTTCCCCTTCTGTTTCCCTATAGATTCTTTTTTTAATACTTGTTTTTATTTATTATTTTATGTGTATGTGTGTACTGCCTGCATGTATGTAAGTGCACCCACGTAGTACAATACCTGCAGAGGTCAGAAGAGGGCATTGGATCCCTTGGACTACAATGTAGGTGCTGGGAACTGAACCTGGGTCCTCTGCAAGAGCAGCCAGTGCTCTTAACTGCTGAGCCATCTCTCCAGCCCCATAGATTCATTTTTTAAACAAATGTTACAAATAATTTTTCTTTGTTTTCAGTGCTGGGTGGGGATCACTTGTGCACATTAGACAAGTGCTCTACTACTGAGCCACCTTATTTCTTTTTAACGTTTTGGTTGTTAGCCTTAGCCTTTACTGGCTGCGCTATCCCTCCAGCCCATTTTTTTTTAAGTCTGTCAATGTGTCAGGCTGAAGGAACTCATGAGAAGGGTAACTGAAAATACCAGACAGTTCAATTAAGAGGTTCCTGATGTGTCCCAAGAAAATATTTATCTTTCTAGTTGTTTTCCCCCCAGTTTTCTAAGGCAAGGTCTTGATATGTGTAGGTAGGCCCTGAACTCACTATCTAGCCTAGGGTGGCCTTAAGTCCCAGTCCTCATACCTCAGCCTCAGTACTGAGATTATAGGCATGCACCACTGTACCAAGCTCCTGGTTATGTTAGAATTCACATTGATTTTTCTTTTAGAATTATTCCAATTTTTGAAGCTATGTATATGTGTATAAAGAACAACAAAATCCATTACCTATTACATGCTATATATTTTAAGTCTATCAGGGTAAGTCAATATTACTTATAATGGAAACAAGCAATAGGGTTCTGAGGCCAAATTGATGGCCAATTCAATTCAGAGATTTGAGTTCAAACTTCTGTTTTCATTCGAACATTTTATTTACCAATTAATATCTTCACCTGTGATAATAACAGAACTTACGCCGGGAATGAAGAAAAGCAAAAGGAAGCAAAAGTTAATAATTATGGTGGTATTCCAGGCATCACACAAATTATTAGGTACTTATAGAACCATGATGGAACTAATTAATCAGCTATCCAAAATGGGTAATGAGTCCAAGGCATTAGTGTGTCACTCTTTAGAGAAGTCTACAAGCTCTTTTTGAAAGGGATTATTAAAAGAAAACAAATGAACATATTGAGATTACACATACCTGTCCAAATGAAAGGCTGCTACCTCTGCATTGTGTCTGTCATAGCCAGCATATGGCTCCCCTTCTACCACATAGTCTCGGCTATACCTGTAAAGTAAATGGGAAGCCCAGAATTATATCAGTCCTGAAGGTGACAACACATGAGGCAGACACTTTGGCAGAACTCATCTGTTCCAAACACTCCTCTGACAACCCTGGGAACAATTGGGAGTTAGCACAAACTGCTGGTAGATGACATAAAGACAAGTTGAGACAGAATCCAAAATTCTGTATTTGCCTCAGCAATCATTTTATGAATAAAACATAGATGATATCATTTTCACTCCCGAAAAGGTCTTTCAATGTAATTTAAATACAACAACAAGGTAATTTTCTGGAAGGTAGGAACCATCTTTCTATCACCAGTATGGTATAGAACTAAAAGAAATTTTTTTTTTTTTGCAGCTAGGCATGGTGGCACATGCCTTTAATCCCAGCACTCAGGAGGCAGAGGCAGGTAGTTCTTTACAAGTTCCAGACCAGCCTTGTCAACAGTGAGTTCCAGGCTAGCTGGGGCTACAGGGAGACCCTGTCTCAAAAAATATCAATCTGTTGCTTACCAGAGTGGCATTGTAAGGCTTCTAAGAGAAGTTTAAATTTCTTGGGATAAACAAGTCCTGATAAGTCTGTTTTTGTTAAGGAAAAGGCAAGGATGCTCCTGAGGGGAAAAAAAGCTGTTTGAGTAACCATTCCTGTTCCCTCCTTTCAAGTTTATGAAGTACAGGAAGGAATCCTGGGCTTGATAGGACAGCCTTGAGCAAAACCTTACCTTTCTGTTCTCTGTGTCTCAGAGATTCATTATCTATAAGACTATGGGGCTGGTATAGGGGGTAATTTCTAAGGTCTTTTTGATCTTAAACTGAATTCTGCTGATTTTATGCTGTATGCATGACATAAAGGATAATGAACACCGGTATCATTAAGTGAATCTCTTTAAATGATAAAAATGTAAACCTGTTAATTACGAAGAAAGAAATATTTAACTCACCTATCACCTCTACCTGCATTCCTGAATTAAAGGAGACCTATTAGCGTACAGGGGCACTGTGAAAGAGAAATACGTTGAAACTAATATGAAGAAGAACAGTTCCACTGCAGATAGGATTTCCGATGCTGAAAGAGCTCTGATGAAGTAGAAAATGGTACTATAAAAAGCAAGGACCTTCAACTTAAATGATCTTACAAAGTGAAATTGTGTCTCTATCTTTAAGGCAAAGTGATGAAATCTTCATATTAGAGGACAATCATGCATTGCCATCTTGGTGGCACCAGGTTTCTCCTCAGCCTAGTCCACATACCATGCATTTAAAGTTCCTAGTAAAAATAATTACTTAAGCTACTTAGGTTTATTCTGGCTGCCTTTAAGTGAATTTCAAAATACTTCTGAAGCAAAAGCTGACACTGTAACAAGCACTTTTCTTTCTACTACAGGTGTAGGTTCCCCATACAGCTGAGCAACAGTCCTGGAATGCTTTTTAGGACTTCTGCATAGCCATAGGAAAATACAAGATGATGTACAGTACATTTCCTCAGTGAAGCATTACCAACATTTCCAATACAATCAAGGCTGCTCAGAGTAAAATTTATGACCCTAGAGAATCCAGGAACTTTGAGGATAGGCTCAAGAGTAAAGAGGAGGAGAATCAAAATGAAAGAATCACACTGCAGTCAGGAGGTCTGAACTGGGGGGTAGGGGTGCACATGCTTCTGGAAACCATAGGGTAACTTCAAGTACCATTCAAAAAAAAAATTTTTTTTTTCTCTTTTTGAGACAGGGTCTCCTTGTAGTCTCAGCTGACCTGAACTCACTATGTAGACCAGGCTGGCCTCAAACTCACAACCTCCACCTGCCTCTGCCTCCCAAATGCTGGGATTAAAGGCGTGCGCCACCACGCCCAGCCAATTTTTGTTTTTTGAAACAGTCTCTCTCACTGGTCTGGAATTCAAGTAGGTGAGGCTGGTTGGCCACTGAACCCCAGGGATCCATCTGCCTCTGCTTCTCCGCACTGGGATTGTAAGTATGTGCCACCATGCCTGGCTCTGTGTGTGTGTGTTGTATGTGCTTGCCTGTGCGGGTATTGTGAAGGCAGGGGTTAATGTAGGGATGTCTTTCCTCTATTGTTTTCCACCTTACTGTTTTTGAGGGTCTCTTACTGAACCTGAAGCTTACTGCTTTGGCTAGACTGACCAGCCAGTGAGTCTTAGGGATCTCTGCTCCGCCTCCCCCAGTACAGTACTGGGGTTATAGGCCCAAATTGGCATGCTCCAATTTTATGTGGATTCTAGGGATCCAAACTCAGGTCCTCATGCTTGCATAGCAAGCACTTTACACACTGAACCCTCTTCCCTAGCCCAGTTTTTATATAGCTTCTGGGGATCAAACAGGTCCTATCAATTGAGCCATTTTTCCAGATCCTAGGGGTTTGAACTCATAGCTCATGCTTTGGTTGTGTGAAATATGAAAAGTCAGGATTCTGGATCTCAGTTTTCCTCACCTGCAATCTCCAAGGTCCCTTTCAGCATATTCTAAGATCATTCATTCACTTCTACCTAGTCTTAGGTTCCCGCTTTATGTTCTTTTTTCAATGTAACTGCAGTTGTGCCTGTAAAATCAATTTATTTCCAGAACGGATACAGCTACATTGGACCAAAAAAAAAAAAAAAAAAAAAAAACAAAAACAAACTTTTATAATGTAATAAAATAACGTAAATAATACTGTCACTGAAATTCCTATATATGTTATCTACCTTCTACTTCTGAGAGGACATTAACCACCAGCCTCTAACCATGCTGAAACCACAGAGGCTTCTAAGGAAAAGTGTATGTCTTGACTCAGTGGTGGACCTGGATTCTCCTCTCAGCAGAGAATAATCCATCTTAAGTCACTGACAGAGCAGCAAAATTCATACAGTAACTGCCAATAAATCACTCCTATACTTCTAGTGAAGGACATCAGAGTCTCACCAAGGACATTAATTTGCACTTATACAACAGGATTGAATAACTTATAAGACCCAGAAGGTCAGAGTAGTATTAGTACTTCAACCTACACCCAGTTTCCCAGATCTACCAGTGTCTGTATAAAGCAACAGAGGTCAGCATGTGCCAGTGACTGAAAGTTAACACTTCCAGTCATACACTGTGCTGGGTAGGAAAGGAGGCTGCCCTGGAGCTGGAGTAGGAATGGGCTGTTCAGGGGATGGCTGTGGGGTGGGGGGGACCTCCCCACCAGACAAAAAAAAGAGCAAAGGGAGAATGAGGCTGAGTAAAAAAGAAGGACCAGACTTTGGGGCCCTTGGTTATGAGGCTGTGGAGGATGGGTTTTATCTGGTAGGCAAGAGGAAGACCCTGGATGTTTTGAAGCTGAGGAGTACAATGATAATATGAGCATTTGGAGGAAGACTGGAGTGGTTTTCAAGATCTGAAAGAAGGTAGTGGGATGGCACAGAGTAATAACAGAGATACCAGATAAAGCAAGTATTCACTAGGGCATTAGCATTTACCTTGTGCCCCCTCCCCACTCATCAGTCTGGCCCCTCCATCATCTCTTATGCCTTCCTTGAATATCTCAGGTGTGACTGCAAAGCTTCTGGTCTACACTTCCTCTAACACATCTAACCCCACCTCACCCTTTATTTTCTAGTGTACAAGTAGTACATGTAGAGATGAAATCCTTGTTTAAAACATAAAATACAATTCATTTGTTTCTATACAGATTTTCCTCTTCCCCTACACTTTGCTTATGCTAATAATTCCTTAAGTTACAAACCAAGGAATGAATCCCTTAGGACCATATTTCAAAACTAAATTAGTGGGCCAGCAAGATAGCTCAACAGCAAAAAGAGCTTACCACCAAGCCTTATGACCCGAGTTCGATTTCCGGGGCCCACACGGCAGGAGAGAACTGAATCCCACAAGCAGTCCTGACTTTCACATGCACATTGTGGTACACATGAGTGCAAGCACACACACATACACACAAAGAAAAATAAAAACAAAAACCCCTAAATTAGCAATTTTTTTAATGATGGTTACTCCATCACACTTAGAGGAAGCAAAGAAAGAAACCGAGAATTTGTATAGTAGAATACAAGTTATTTAAAACAGATTTGGGTTCAAACTCCAGCTCCACTAATTGCTATGAGATGACTCTGTCAAGTCAGTTTCTTATTGTGGAAACAGGAAATGAACTGCCTCAGAAGTTAAAAGCATTAATAGATTGCAAAGTATTTGGTGTAATGTCTGACATATGGTGTCTATTCAACAGAAATTAGACTCCAAAGCCTACATAATCAAACTTTTCCACACTGTCAGTCAGTCAAGCTTTTTTCCTCCCTTTTCTTTTCTTCTTCCTATTTATTTAGACAAGGTCTTGATATGCAGCCCATGCTGTCAAGTGCCGGCATTATAGGTGTGCAACCACAACGGCTCTAACTGCCTTTTCACTCTTGCCTAATGTCCCCCTCTTCCATACATCATACTTCCCCAGTCTAAACATTGGACCTTTTCATTTCTGGGATCCCAAATAGAGCCACTGCGTAGCTGCTTTTTATCTGCTGATAAATTGGGCAATAGGCAGTTAAAATTTTGTACATCTTTTCCCAATTGCTTCCTCTACTTCAACAAGAAATCTAAAAGTATAATTCTCTAAAAAGTTCCATGGAGAGGGGCTAGAGAGATAGCTCAGTGGTTAAGAGGCACTGACTGCTCTTGCAGAGGACCCGGGTTCAATTCCTAGCACCCATACGGTGGCTAACAACCATCTGTAACTCCAGTTCCAGGGGGGAACCGACTCCCTCTTCCGACCTCTGCAGGTACCACATGACATTGGTGCACCTACTTTACATGCAAGCAGTACTACTCATACAAATAAAAATAATAAACTTTTTAAAAGTTTCACAGAGAGATGAAAAAGCATTCCATACACAAAATTTGAAAGCATTCACTGGTGACTAACTTCTCATAAAAAAATGTGACTCATCATGTCACATTTTACTCACAGAAAACTTAAAAAAAAAAAAAAGATACCATAGAATTACCATACAAACTATTTCTGTAGATACTTAGAGAAGTCCAAAGGATCACTAAAAACATAAATACCACTTGGTTACTGAGGCAACTAAAATGGCCCGGTTCTTTGCTTACAACAGGTAAAAAAGGGGCTGAGGATATAGCTGAGTAGCACAGCGCTTGCCAAGATTGCACATGACAATGGGTTCACTCCCCAGCACCATAAAACAAACATGCAATGAAGCAATGAAAATAGCACTACATATGTATTAAGTTTTCTATAATCCAAAACATTAACAACACTAATTGCTGTGAGGGGATGGCACTACAGGGACACTTGCTGATGGGAATGCAAAATAGTACAGCCTCTCTGGAAGAATTAGGCAGTTTCTAACAAAACTAAACGTACTTTCAGCATATGACCCAGTAATCATGTTTCTTAATAGTTATCCAAATTAGTTCAGAACGTATGGTCACACAAAAGCATGCACATGAATGTTTACAGCAGCTTTATTCACAAATGTAAAAACTTGTAGTTCAGCTGGGTATGGTGGCACATGCCTTTAATCCCAGCACTCAGGAGGCAGAGGCCTCTGTGAGTTCAGGGCCAGCCTGGTCTATATAGTGAGTTCCAGGCCAGTTGGAGCTATAGGGAGACCCTGTCTCAAAAATACAAAAAGACCAAAAAAACAAACAAACAAATAAAAAAACCACAACAACTTGGAGTTCAACTATTTGATATCTGGGAAAGAGTCTCAAGTAAAACTATGAAGACAATAGAAAAATTAAGGGGTGCCAAGGATTCAGGGATGAAATTGTAAATAGCTGCAGCACAGATTTTTAAGGCAGGGAAATTGTTCTACAAGATACTACAGTGATGGACATATGTCATTAGACATTTGTCTAAATCTATGGACCATAACCCCAAAGAATGAATCCTAATGTAAGGCAGAAACTTTAGTTATTAATTAATGTACCATTATTGGATCAATTAGACTAATGAACAATGTTAATAACAGAAGAAAACTGGAGGGAAGGGTGGTTAGTGGAAATTTTCTGTATTTCTCCTTCACATTTTCCATAAACCTGAACCTACTCAAAAACCATAATTAACAAAAGCTCTAGATGAACAAATCAGTGCTTTAGCACTGAAAGGGACTCCACTCTTCCAAATCTATCTCCTGTTCTATTCCTGCCCGACATCTGGTTATCCAGTCTTTAGTTGCACATTTTTGGGTTACAAATTACTTATTTTCTACTCAATTCATTCTGTATCTCTAATACCTGCCACACAGGAAATATTTAGTATATTAAAAATCAACAGCCAGGTATGGGGGCTCAAGCCTGCAATTTTAATACTCAGGAGGCTGATGCAGAAGGATCACCAAGCTAAGGCCAGTGTAGGTTGTGGGTTTAGAGAGAGAGAGAGAGAGAGAGAGAGAGAGAGAGACCCTGTCTCAAAACAAATAAATTAAAAAACGAAACAAATAAACAAGACCCACAGAAATCAATGATACCTCTGTCCAAAACTTTAGTCCTTGTAACTCACTATGTAAACCAGGCTGCCTTCAGACTTTCAAAAATCCTCCTGCCTCAGCCTCCTGAGTACAGAGATTACAGGATTAAGTCACCATGCCTGGCTTTAAAAGTTCAGACTTAAAAGAATCAAAATAAGTTCCTGAAATTTGTCCACTCAAAGAATCATGGAACCTTCAGAACTAGAAAAAAACCTCAGAGATCTTCCTCTATCTTTGTCATTCTGCTGAAAATAATACCAAGAAAAGGAGAATGTGCTTATATAAATCCCAGGTTGAATGAATCAACCAACCAGCACATATAGTTTCTGAGATGAAGACTTACCGCTTAGGTTTGAAGACAACTTTCTGTCCTCCTTCAAGTACCAGTAAAGCTTTTAGCTGTGTCCCTTTATAGCCCACATCAGCTTTAATGATTTTCTTAGTGGCCATGGCATGCATGATTGCCCCCAGCTCTGGCGTCTCTTCAGGGTACACTTCCCGGGGCACTACCCACTGGGCTGCAATTTCCCAAGGAGACTGCAGGGTGTGGTCCAGCTTAGGTACCAGCTCCACCTGCAAGCCAGTCATCATTCGGTGAAAAGCCCTCTGGTCCTCTCGGTTGGCAGCAGATGTATCTAAGTTGTCAATCAGGAAAACTTTGGTGAAGATAAAGATGACAAGGAGTATTGCTAACAGCACGACTCGTTGCTTTAGCTTCATGTTGACCTCTTTTCCTTCTCCCCTGACCCACCCTCTCTAGCTTATCAGGGAGAACAGGTGGTGATGATTAGCAGGGAGACTCCATGATTACATACGTCTTCACTGAAGCACCTCCATAATTCCTGCAGGCCCAAGTACAAAGAAAAATTTAATCAGGAATTCTGTCATTCTGAACCCCCAAACATTTTGCAAGCCTCTAATATGGTACTTATCCTTTTAGTAATTCATTGCTAATCCTAAGTTTGAGAAGGCCAACTAACTTAAAACAGTCAGGGAAAACCTAAGAAAGAACTGGCTGGGTACAGTGAAAATAAGAAACATATTCCTGTTTTAATTAGGACGTAGAATCATCTAGGAGTCATTTGGCTGGCTATATAGGTCTAATAATTACCAAAACAAGGAGGAAAAAAAATCCAAAGCAAAACAAAACATTTCAACATGCATACTTCCTTAACTTTCAGTTTTACCTTTCAAAGATCTATAAATAACTCTTCAATATACCAAACCATCAATATTTGGTAATTTTCCAGTTCCTTCTACATAAAAATTTTATGATGTCTTGTATGACAAGAACTCCTAAAAATACCAAAAAGGGTATAGAAGAGAGTAATAAAATAATTCCTTCTCCAAATCCTAATACCCAGCAATTGAGACATGTCAGGGCCATTATTCATATGATTAAGCATTAACACTCAGACACATCTCTCTCCCTAATCAGACCTTCGCTATTTTTCAAAATTAAAGTCCTCATAAAATATGGATAATCAAATCTGGATAAATTTAGTAAAGGAAAGACATGTCCTTATTCCATCTGCTATTAGTGGAATATGATCAGAAAATGAATGAAATCTGGCATGACTGCAACACTACTATGCCTTGAATGACTAAGCAAAGAGCAAGCTCTCAATGCCACAGACTGAAGAGGTACTGCTTCCAGTGTGGGCTGACCACACTTTGGGCAATCCTCCAAATAGAGGACATCAAGAACATAGAATTCAGTTTCATTTGTATGCTGAGAGGTTGTTTTTCGCCCACTGGGCTTTTTAAATTTTTGTTTTTAAGACAGGGTCTCATGTAGTTCAAGACTGGCCTTGAACTCTTGGTCCTCCTGCTAGTATCTCCCAAGTACTGTGGTTATAGGCATGTGCTACAATGCCTCAGTTCACGAGGCCATTTAATAATGTGCACAAGCTTATTACACTGCTGCATGCCTACAGACTGTACAGCACCGGAACAAGGAAAAACTGACAAGAAAATAATAGGGTGTTGCCTCTCTCTGCAATTCATTTAACAATTTAAACCATTAATCGAAGAAATAAAGCCAATATAAAAGACAGAGCAAACAATTGGGCTGAGGCACTCTGACCTAATCTTAAGACTGCTTGCTTCCTTAACAACCGAAAACAATCCAAGAGGAAAATTCTAAGTAAAGCCTTGCTTGAAGTTTGTTCTCAAGGACCAATCACTCCTTTTCTGTTTGTTTTCATGAAGGAAGCAGAAAATGAAAAGTTAAATTTGATCCTAATTTTCTCTAGCCACCTGTACTGTTTCTTCAACATCTCTTACAACACTATTAAGCTGGAAGGAAGCAGTGCAAATGCACTGAAAATGTAAACCAAGCTGGCCTTGCACTCAACAGAGATCTGCCTGCATCTGCCTCTGGAGTGGCTGGGATTAAAGCCACACCTGGCTTACATATTTTTTAAATTAGCATGCAAATCAGCAAACCTTCCTTAAGCAACAGATGGTGATTAACCCAAAAAATCACAACTGGACAAAGTACAGAGAATAAGAGACTTCAGAGTGTCCCCTGAGGAAGACACCTATATCAAACCTCTGCCAGCCAGGGCTCAGGAACCATTGTGAATGAGGAGGCAGAAAGACTGTAAGAGCCAGGGGTGGTCAATACAAAAAAAGAGTTTTCCAGGCAGTTGGAAAGTTACTCATATGAGCTTACAGCAATGGTGATAGTACACACAAGATTCATGCAAGTTTAAATTAGACAAAAACCCAGCATGGAAGAAGGGAAAACCCGGTAAGAAAACCTGGCTGAAAAACTATTGGGCAATGGACGACTACTGGGAGAGGGAGAGTTGGTCTTCTTTAAAGGAGTGACACTAGATAGGTTGTCCAGGCTCCAGTGGATGGACTCACATCAAGGGACATTTGGGGACAGAAATCTGGCTTGATAGGCCACAACATATATAACAGAATGCATGAAAACCAGTGGGGGGCTATAGAAGAGTGCACATAGGGGAGGTCTAAATATGATCAAGATGTATGAAATTCACAAAAAATCAAATTTTAAAAAAGCACACAAAGTAATGGATTCCATTATGCTAAAATGTAACTGTGATGGTATCAGATTTGGCGAACTCAGTAAAAACAGTTCCTGGTAATTACCTACAACACCATTGTTAGAGAGCAGATTTCAATATTTTTGCCAGTTCTAACACAGCCTAAACTAATAATTTTTCATTTATTTGTTCAACAGTACACAGAGTTCAGCGATAAAAGGAAACAGAAATCCAGCTGCATCAGCAATCACTTCTTCAGCACCTCCAGACCCACATATCAACAGGTACATACTTTACAGTTCTGGTACCAAGCTAACAGGCTTTTCCTTTCTATACAGCATGCTTCAGGACTAAAGCCTGGTTAAATAGACTTTGGTAGTGTATATCCAATGCATAATAAAGGAAATCATCCCTCATACTATAGACACAGTACCTCCAAACGTAGATTTGTTTTGGTGGTCTTGATATACAGCCTAGGCTGGCCTTGAACGCAAGCACTCTTCCAATCTCACCAGCACCTGCCCCCCACCCCCTTGCAGGGATTATTGAGGTTCTATTTTGTTTGTTGTCCTGGGGGTGGCACCCAGAGCTCTGTTAATGCTAACCAAAAGCTCTACTGCTGAGCTGCACCCCTAGTGCTGTTTGTCTGTTTAATCACCACTGCAAAAAGTTTTAGCAGCTCCAGAATTAAGATAAGACAAAACAGTCCAACTCTGAATCCCAGTTGTATGTTTTTAAGTTCTGAAATCTCGATACCTTTCAAAAAGCCCCAGAAGAACACATTCATCAATTCAGGGCTGTAAATAATTCAACCACTCAGGTAAGACAGAGATTTTTATTAGGGGGAAACTGAAGAATTCAATTGTTACATTATTTCACTATTCCCATCAAAGATTCATGGTGAGAGAAGATTGGAAAAAAAGGCAGGCGGAGTGAATTTTGTGATTGATGAGTCGACACACCTAGGTAAAACAAGACTGCAATTTATCACTATTCTCTCCATTCCTTTTTTCTTTTGGAGGGTGTTGAGACAGGGCCTTGCTATGTAGTCTAGGCTGGCCTTGAACCCATGGCAACCGTAGCCTGGTGAATGTGGGATTAGTCTTGGCATGGCTTTGTATGACTGCCTTCCACTTCTACAGCCACCAGCTGATTGTAGTGCTCAGTATCTCCTACTAGACCATAAAAGAACATATTTCTGGAGGCTTCAATCCAGTCTAACTAGTCCTTCAACCACCTGGAATTCTAAAAATTCCTTAGGAGGGCCTACAATAAGTGACTTAACTGTCCATCTCAGCTTCAGCCGAATGGACTAACTGAGCAATGCTGGTTCTTGATGTGGAGGTACCCTTTGTTCCCACCATTCCTCACTTCTTATCACCCTCAAAATGCCTTCTCTTACGGTTTCTCCCCATCTCCTCCTGTTTAAAGCCTAATCCTTCTCTCAAGGCCCATCTCCAAGGCCAAGTGTAGTCCCTCCTCACCCTATATGTTAGGATCGCGCTCCTTTTGATCAGTGCATACCTACATTCTGCCTTGTTTAATACCAACTTGTACAGTTTCCCAGTTCTCTGCTCAGAAATGTAACTCCTTAAAAGGACTCCCTTTGCTCCTTTATATTTCAGAGAGGTGATCTGAGACTTGATTTCCAGGTTATACTCTTGTCCTTTCTGATTGGAGACAAGCAGTTTACTATCTACTATGCAAGCTGGATTTTAAATATCCTCCATTTCAGATACAAGGAAATCAAAGCAGAATAGCCAGGTATATTCTGAACTACTCATGAAAACATCCCTCACATTCCCAGAGTGTGCTTGCTCTATTTTCCGCCCTCGTCTCCCCTTATAAATGCTCATATAGTGCAACACTGCCCATTTACACTATGGTCATTTATTTTCATGTGTCTCTTATATCACAGCATACCTCAAAGAACAAGCAGACTCAAGGTAATAATAGAACTCAAAAAGTGTTAAATATAAAAAAGGCAGTGCAGCCGGGCGTGGTGGCGCACGCCTTTAATCCCAGCACTCAAGAGGCAGATGCAGGTGGATCTCTGTGAGTTCAAGGCCAGCCTGGTCTACATAGTGAGTTCCAGGACAGCTGGGGCTACAGGGAGACCCTGTCTCAAAAAG